TTCGACGATGACGATCAGGCATATAAACCTAATTCATTGTATGTGGAAATCTAAACTATACTCCCTCGTCCATATATCTGTAGTTTTGTGGCTGCGCACATGTAGAAAAAATGCTAGATTAAGATACAGCAGAACAATATACTCCCTCCTTCCCACAATATTTGTCATTTTCTTAGTTGCACACATATTAAGAAACTTAATAAATATGCTAGATAGTAGCAAAATGTATAGTAAATCACTAAAATGCCCATGCCATTAATCGATTTTTAAATAATTATATTTCAATTAATCTGAAGAGTGAGAAAGGGCAAAATTGAAAAAAATGCAATTAATTGTTCATTAGGAATAGCTCAAAATGACAAATAATTTGAAATATGAAAAAATGGCAAAAGTGACAAATATTAAGGGAAGGAGGGAGTAGTAAATACTAAAATACCTTATCATTAATTGTTTTTGAAACTAACTAATTAAGAAAGGCAGTAAAATTGAAAAAAATACAATTAATGTTTCTAAATATATATATATATATATATATATATATATATATATATATATATATATATATATATATATATATATATATATATATATATATATATATATATATATATATATATATATATATATATATATATATATATATATTATAAATGCGGAGGAAAAAAAGCTACCTTAAATCGGGGGACCCACACGCATTTATGCCCTGTGCAATTTGCAGCTGCCTTAATTTTTAGTTTTCTATTTTCTTTAGTTAAGTATTACTCTTTCCGTTTCTAAATAGGGGTCGTTTTTTACCTTGACACAAATATTAGGAATCTTTATAAATAGTGTTTATTAGGGATAACCCTTGTTCAGATTTTCTAATGAGGTGGATCCAATTAATTTTTCCCTTTTTGAGATACACCTAAAATATGCCAACTTGGCAAAATATATATATATATTGAGGGTGAACTGCATTCTGCACCCCATAATTAACAGTATTTGGCGTTTTCCATCCTAATATTTTAAAATTGGCACAGCCCACCCTTCAAATATACATCTCATGGCAAAATGCAACCTACCCAATTTCTAGTGATATTTTAGCCAAAAAGAATCAACATATCACGATATTTTACACTTTTGAAGGAATTTTCATTACCTTTATGTTTTGTTTTCTTACTTAATATTATTTAATTATTTTACTTGTATATATATTTAAAACATAATTGATGATTTATTTTATATGTTTTGCAGCGAAGTAAAAAATGTAGGGTCCATTTGACATACACCCCTAGTATGAAAAATATATATGGAATCATGGCTATGTCTATCCCTTAAATTGTTCCTTTGAGATACCCCTTGTAGAGGCAAAAGTACTATTGTGCCCATATGTGCAATTTTCGCCCAACTGCATTCAGTATTATGGCCAACTACATTTTGCATTGTTGGATCTGCATTTATCATTTTTATAGATTTTTTAATAAAAAATATAAATGTTTATTTTATTATTATTTTTTATATATAGCTTATTTTTTTAATTTTTAATTTTTTAATTTTTTTAACTTTTTTTTTTATTTTTAAGTTATTTTTTAGTTTTTTTTTTTAAATTTACTGTACTGAAATTGTTTACACATGACTATAATATACTACACATAACTATAGTGTACCACAATCATGTATAGTTATATGTAATCATGTACTGTCTTTTTACCCGCAAAATTAATCTACACCAAGTACAAAATTCGCAATTTTAATCTTGATATTATAAATCAACTAACCCACAAAAAAAATGAAAAAACACAAACACGTGCATATAATCTTCAAAACATGAACACGCATTACTATACATTAAAAAACACATAGCATACATATAACTATATGTAACTGAGTGACTATAGTTATCTACAATTATCTATAGTTATACATAGTGGCATAAGTCTGGAGTATTGTAGCATGAATGCAACTTCACATGACAATTCTCTGCATGACTGCATCTTATTATTTGCATCTCATAATGTTATATAGATCAAAACCCGTGAAAAAAAATACAAGTTAAAGAAAACAAAGAACAAAATGGGAGATGCAAGTTACATTGCATGAAAAAAAATTAAATACAAAAAACAATGAAAAACATTTCTTTTATAAATTTGCTTTGGTGAACTATAGTCTCATGTAGTTATGTTCATTTATGTTACTATATG